ATCGGTCTTGGGGACGGTCTCTCCTAGTGGAAGGAGACGCTAGAAACATTATCTCTTGGGCTTCCAGGACTGCGCCCCCCCTTGGTATCTAGTGCCTATTTTTGATGAGATGGAGGATCTTTGCAGAAATATGCCAATCTTATAGATGCGTATCTCGAGGATGTCGAACGGGCTCGCCGATCAGCTATCCAAGGACGGAGCCATGGCCAATGCAGATGAATAGGCACTTCTGCAGCTCTTTTTGGGTCGGGCACGAAGCACGCACTTTACTCGATCTCCTCTCGGACGGGTTCCTTTTTTGTTCTACTCGTTCGTTCCTTTTTGCTTTCTCTCTTGTACATTTTCTGATTACAGTGTAAGGGGATAATTTATAGCCCCATTTTGTATAGGGTCCGATGACCTATTCTTTTTTACCAGAAGTATCGGCTTTAAGGTACTCTTGGATGAACCTTATTCTCTTGTATCTATCCTCTTAAATCAATACAATTGTTAAAAATATCAAAAAAAGAAATTCAAAATACCCAAAAAAAATACATGAAAATGTCAAATACTTCATCTCCTCTAGTTATTTTGACAAATTTCTCAAAACGTTTAAAGTACAAAGCTGCTCCTTAATCAAGAGAGGAGACAAATAAGTCCTCAAGACTTAATACAAGGAGAAACAACTATAAACTTAATTACTCAACACTCCATCTCAAGTCAGTGCATGGATATTTTGAAAGGTGTGGCTATGTGAAAGTCAAGGTATTGAATTAAAAAATTTCTTTTTATTTTTATTTCAAATATCTGAAATCTACTTACATGGGCCATATTATGTTGCTGTAAAATTAAAATAATGCCTTAGATACAACTTAGGTTCTTTATTTTTATTACGAAGTGAAATAAAAACTATTCAGGAGCTTTAGACAAACTTCCACCTTAATTTTTAACACCAAATAAGTTCCTGAAGATTTACAAAAAATAGAATTTAATATTGTACATTAATCTAGAACTGTTGGGAAAACATATTGGAAGATGCCGATAGTTACCCTACCAGGACTTAATACACCGTACACTCGATTCCCTGACCAATGGCATACTTTTGCTCCTTAAGGTGTTGCTGGAAATTCTGATATAGAGAAGCTTTATAGGCAATATACTTCTTTCTCTAGGGTTTTAGAGAGCTCAAAAATCAACTAGGGCTTCTACAAATCCTATAGGAATAAATTAGGACTGAATGTGTGTGTTGATCTCTCTCTTGACTGGGCTTCTCTCTTCTTTCTTCAAAAATACTGTAAACCCTTACTCTAGGGTTTCACTGTAGCACCACCTCTAATTTTGGGTGGCGTAACACAAACTTATAGAGGAGAGTGGCGTGCCTCCCTATGGGTAGAGGGAGGGGCACGTGACTTCAAGTTTTCCTTTTTGGGGAGAGAGAGAGAGAGAGAGAGGAAAAATTTGGCGTGGAAAAGAGAGACAGAGAATAGGTGCGTGAAAGAGAGAGAGAAAGATCTCGTGTTGTAAGAGGGTTCAAATTAGATCTTTTTATAAAAGAAAATCTATAACCTAAATTAAATATGATTCTTTTCAAGTATTGCCTTATCCAGTTTCTAGCTAGACTTTTAGGATAAATATGAATTCTGTGGGGTGAGAGAATCAGAGCCATCCATCCTAAAAATCAGCCATCATGATTTTAGGTGGAAAGAAAGGAATCTTATCCCCTTAGATTTTGACCCAAGTCCAACTCCTATTTGAATTAAAATAAAATTAAATTTAGACTTTATATAGATCTCTCAATTAAATTTGAAATACAATTAAACTTAAAGATTTTCTAGATCTCTGGATCTCCTATAAGGATTGGAAACCAAATCTAATTTGAATTAGAAGTACCTAAACCAAATCTAATTTGTATTAAATATACCTGTTTTAAGTTATTTTAAGGAACCAAAAATTAAGAAAAGTGGGGCGTGTTGTAAAGTGTCGTGCCCACTTCTCTTTAAAAGGTGGTGTACAAACACTTAATTAAAAAATGGGGCGTGCCCCCTTTGTTCCACTTAAAATGGCATGCCCCCCCTTTTTCTGTTAAAGATGGTGTACCATAATTGTTTAAAAACATGGGGCATTGCCCACTAAGGGATGCCACGTGGTCCCCACACTTCAAAACAAAACACACACGTGGGGCTAGATCCTTAGCCCACATGTGTTATTTTAAGTTTTGAAATTTTTATAAATACCCTTTTGATTAAAAGTACACTTGAAAATATTGTTTTAAAATTTTGAAGAATATTTAAAAATAAAAAAAATAATTTATAATTCTAAAATAGAATATAACTAGGAGTGGACTGGTACAAATGGATCAAAATTAGTGATACTAAGGGCACTCCACTCTCCTCAGAAACCATGATCCACTACTGTTGTCATATCCAACCCAACAAAAGTCTTATGACCCATAGTCTCTATGCAGGGGCTCATAATTGGCTTGTCAAAGTTGGATAATAAACAGTGGGACCATGATCCTGGAATGTAAATTTCAGTTGTGCAGAAGTCTCTCTGACCTCAACAAGGGATGACCCATTGCAAACCCTTCTCGATTGTGCCAGGGCTAATTTTTACCTGACCTAGATCATAAGCCGCTCAACCCTTGGTCAGTCAACACACACACTCCCATTGAAGTGCATATTCCACTGTACGTATCATTTTTACAAGCTTTCTAAGCCTTTAGAGGCCACAAAAACCCAACATATTTATCATGCGCAGCTTGCTTAAGATCATTTGTAGTCGAGGTTTTTCCACCGCTGGGTTTTCTAGCTGGTTTTTTGTTTGAACATATGGAAGATAAATTTCCTTAGTAGCAACCCTTCCTCGAATAAAATGCCAATCTACCTCTATATGCTTCGTTCTATCATGCTGAAGCAGATTATGAGCTATATTGATTGTTGCCTTATTATCACAATATAAGGGCATTGACCTTTTCACAAAGAAACCAAGTTCTCGTAAAAGGATCTTTAGTCGGAGTAATTTACATGCACCATGAACCATGGATCTATACTCATATTCTGTACTTGATCTTGCTACAATTGATTGCTTCTTACTTCTCCAAGTTACAAGGCTCCCTCCAAAAAGAGCACAGCACCCGATGTCAACCTTTGATACGTAATAGGACCATCCCAGCTGCATTTATATAAGCTTCAACTCACAAGGGCCCATGATTAGTAAACAACAGTCCTCTCTGCAGTAATGATTTTAAGTACCTGAGGATTCTACAGTAGCCTCAAGGTGGATAGTTCATGGAGAATGTATAAACTGACTAATCACACTCACATGTGTAAGGTCTGGTTGTGTAAATAAAAGGTATGTTAGTCGACCCACTAATACCTAAAACATACCCACATCCATGGGAGCTTCAACCCTTTGGTCATCAAGCTTGTGATTCTGTTTTATAGTTGTGTCAGCCAGTTTAGCCCCAAGTTTTTTAGTTTATTTAAGGAGATCCATTATATACTTCCTTTTGAGTGATGAAGATCGTTGTTTTGACCTGGTTACTTCTATTCCAGGAAAGAGCTTCAGTGGGCCTACATCAGATTTCCAAATTCTCTTGCAAGAAAACCCTGAAGTTGTTGAATTTCCTTGGGAGAACTACTTGTTACAATAATGTCATCCAAGTATACAATTAGCACTGTGGTGCTGGTCTTGGTATTGTTAATGAATAAGGTTTGGTCCGCTTATCTTCGAGTATTTATAATGTTTGTTGAGGGTTTACAGAGGACAAAAATACCCTCAATGAAAATAAGTATCCTAAAGTGTATAAAAATGTCAAAGATGCCGCAATACAGAAAACATGTTATTCTTTAAAAAAATGTAATCTAGAATACTATTTTACAAACTTTTTGGGTCTTATGAGATCTATCGTACTAATTAGGCAAGATTTATCAGTAGTATTAGTAAATGTGGGTATGTATGTACTATTTACTTTAGATTACGGGTTTTTCCGCTAAACCACATGTATAATTATATGGAGAGTAATTTCAGTTTAATCCAAACGAATCCATCTCAATCTTTCAGTATAACATACTCAAGTTTTTCTTTTGCATTAAAAAAAAGGGAAAATATCTCCATACCCCCTATTTTTAAGTTTCATTTCACAATAGACCCAAGGTTTTAAAATATATCTTGGGGCATAAAATTTGTAGATTTTATTTCTTCTAACCCCCTGAGCTAATTCAAACCTATTTTTTTAGGCCAAACAAATCTAAAAAGGCATGCCTTTTCTAAAAGCCATCCTCTCAAACTTTTAGAGAGAGAGAAGGGCTTCATGGAGATAAGAGGTTACCGGGAGGAGAGAGGTGTTTGGAGAAACACGGGAGGAAAGAGAAAGTGAGAGACACAGGAAGAGAAAGAGAGAAGTTTGGGGTATATCAGTGAAGAGAGAGAAAGGATTGGGCTTAGAAAGGGCATGTCTTTTTCACATTTGTTTAGGTTAAAAAATACGTTTAAAGTGGCCAACGGGTTAGAAGATATCTTTTGAAACCTTGGGTTTATCAAGAAATGAAATCTAAAAATAGGGGATATAGAGATATTTTCCCTAAAAAAAACTAGTGAAATACTTTTTGAAATTACATATTTCATACACACGTGCATGTGTATATTTGTCATTGTTCCCTTTATTCCACTATGGCCTTGAAGGTGACTAGAATCCAGTTATAAAGTGGAGCTGGTAGATGTCTGCTGTTTTGTTCCTTGTCCTATTTTTTAATCAATCATAGATGTAGTGGATGAATGTTGATATTGGTGGTATACTTGCATTTCTCATATGTACTTATTGAAGGTCATATGTTTATTTTCTTTGTGATATATTTGTTGGACGTGATAGTGTATGGCCATTGTTCATTTCTATTGGATCTTGAAATTTGCCATCACTGTTTGATTTCCTTGTTTCATTCTTCTTGTGTGGCCCTTAATATTATTGTGGAAGTCATTGAATGGATCCTCAATTAACCTAGGGAAATTCTGAATTTCTGCAGTACTATGAAGAAATGAAAAAATTGGGAATTCAAGTCACGAAGCATGTACATATGGCACTTATAAATGCCTATACGAATTTTGGAAAATTTGATAAGGCAAAACAGGTATGATTTAAAATGTATGCTTTGTTGTCCCGATGCCTTACTTTGTTAAACTAGATAGTATATATGTGAAATTATCCCTTTCTACTGTATGATACTTTCACGTTGGATTTATCAAATGTAGTCTTCGAAAAGGTGGTTTATGCGTTGGGGGATGCATAGCTACATTTGCGTCCCCCGAGGCATCGCACATCCATTATAAAGAAGGATGTGGAGTTGTAGTCTCTCCAAAAAATGGTAAAATTAACAGTTTAAAAATCTAATTTTTGGAATTTATTTATTTTTACATATTCATGATATCCATGTTAGAGATAATGTATAGCTAAATCATTAAGTCCAAAATCCATCTCAAAAATGGATCATGAAGAGAGGGCCATATCTACATATGAGTCTAGGACTCATAAAAATTGTGTCCCTTAAGAAAAAGATTTCTTTTTGCATGCAATCTTTGTGTGGGCCCCTAATACTGTATGCTTGGAAATCGGATTTAGTTCGTTGTAAGGTAACTCTAATATGGGGTTCTAGATGGAGAAGACGTCTAAGTTCTAGTCTAACAATTTCGAAGGACCTTGTTCTATCTTTTTGTCATAGTTTTGGGATCACAATTTTGTATTTACTTGATTTATTAAGCGGTTTGTGTAGTGTTCTATTTAAATGGAAGTTTCTGCTTAGACACTTGACAGAGCTACATTGAAAGATTCTAGGGTTAGCTGGGTCTCTCTTACACCTTAGTGAAGAAATCTAAAGAATATGGCTGTTTTTTCTTAGAAATGCTCACTCTAATTTTCTTACAAATCTAATTTTCTTAGAAATGCTCCCATAGAAAAAAGATTTCCTTTTGCATGCAATCTTTGTGTGGGCCCCTAATATTGTATGCTTGGAAATTGGATTTGGTTCAATGTCAGCTGACTCTAGTATGGGGTTTTAGACGGAGAAGACATCTAAGTTCTAGTCTTAACAATTTCAAAGGACCTTGTTCTATCTTTTTGCCGTAGTTTTGGGATCCCAATTTGGTATTTACTTGATTTATTAAGTGGTTTGTGTAGTGATTAATACATTTAAATGGAAGTATTTGCTTAGACACTTGACAGAGCTACATTGTAAGATTCTAGGGTTAGCTGGGTCTCTCGTACACCTTAGAGAAGAAATCTAAAGAATATGGCTGTTTTTTCTTAGAAATGCTCACTCTAATTTTCTAAGGACCCTAATAACGTGTGATATGCATGGCAATACAAGTACTCAGTTTGCATGCTGAGTTTCTATATTGTGCAATTCATGAAATACATGCATGCTGAAGATTCATTTTATTCATGTTAAATCTATCAAAACAATCGACTTAAACAACACAAACTCTAAGACGATATAGAGAGAAAAGGGAAAACAAAAGAGAAAAAGGGAGAAGAAGAGAGAGGAGAGAGGAGAGAATTATGAAACATGAGGAAAGATAAGGACTTGAGGTTCAACCCACCCTAACAAACCTCGCAACCTTATATTTTATTAAACTTGTGATATGGAAAAAACTTCCCATACAAATATAATTAGGACACTTAGGTCCAAAACTTAGTTGACAAAGGATTTTAACACTTCCCGTCAAGCTGGAGCATAAATGTCACCCATGCCCAACTTGGAACAAATTGTTTGGAACATATTACGACCATGGCCTTTGGTGAAAATGTCTGCTAGACGATCCCTAGATTTCACATATGGAGTAACTTTCTCTTTGATGAAACGACAGTTTACTTCAATATGCTTGGTCCTTACGTGAAACACTGGATTACTGGCTATATAGGTGGCAGCTTTGTTATCGCAATACATCTTCATTGGTTCAGCAACAATAAAATCCATATCCTGCATCAGTGTTTTTAGCCACATCAATTTACATGTAATGTGTGTCATTGCTCTAATTCAGCCTCAGCACTAGATCTAGCCTTTCTTCTTGATGTTACCAAGTTTCCACCAATGAATGTACAATAACTATGATAGACCTGAAAGGTGGACTAGGTGACTGGGCAAGTCAATACCAATTAAAAGTTTTTTACTTTTTTATATGTATTGCCACCTAGATCACTTACAAATGTCCAAAATACAATTTAACTTAATGAAATAGCCACCTCTCACTTGCATGCCATTAAAAGAAAATCACATTCATCATGTCGAATTGAAAATTACATAAGAAAGCAATGGAAGCGACAGAAGCACGGAATATGAAACAACACATACCTTGCCTCAGGTTACCCCCAAGGGCTTCGTACACCCCAAACAGGGTTTCCTCCACCGATGGTGCACGGGATCTTGGTTCAAGAACACACCTCATGATTAGGGAAGCCTAGGCAAAACTCTTAGAGAGCATCACATGGGATTTCCTTAACCAGGGCTCAACACATGAGCATGAGGCAAGGACCTAGGGCTAGGACTTGTGTAGCTTGGGCGCGCCACCTCTTAGGGTTAACTCTTTCCTAAACCCTAATTTGGATGAGAGAAGAAGAGAGGGAAGGCTTGAGTGGGGCGTGCCCCCTTTGGTTGCTTAGAGAGAGAGAGAGAGAGAGAATAGAAAATAGAACCCCATAGTTAATATATATAGACAAGAGGCTAGGGTTTATAGGGTTAGGGTTTTGCCATTATCATGAGGTTTAATCTTGACCTTTGATCTTGGAAACCTATGGGGTGAAGAGATCTCAACTATTCATTCCATAAATCAGCCGCCATGATTAAAGGAATGATGTGGAACCTTATTTCTGAGTTTCCATAACTCCATTCCCATCAAATATATTGTGTAGAGAAAGTAATCAATCAATCAAAATTAATTTCTTACACATCCCTATTTTGAAATCAATCACAATCAATTTCTTACACCATCCTATTTTGAAATCAATCACAATTAATTTCTTGCACCTTCCTATTTTGAAATCAATCAAAATCTCTACACAAAATGGTTTCCTAAAATATCAAGTCAACATATGGCATAATTGCCATCTTTAAATTTAAAAAAGTATGGAGGAGGTGGGTGGCCATGTGGGCTTCTCATCTCCACAATATGGTGGGCCCAATGAACCCTATGGGCCCCCAATACCTTAAACATAATGGTCAGATAATAAAATATTTTGTTATAAAACCTACAAATATTTTATTTTTCTTTCTGATTAATAGATCTAGGAAATTAATTTTTCTCTATTTAAAAATCATATTTCAATAAAATAAAATACTTAGAGGGGTTTAAAAATTCATTTTAATTATCAGAAAAATAATTAAAACATATTAAAGCATATCTAAGAAAGTTTTATGGGAATTGGATCCATAGAGATAGGGTTACAATAAATACATTGAGGACTCCATCATCTCTACAGACTGCATCTCACTGCACTTTCTCAAACTGACCCAACTGATCGTATGACTCACAACCCATCGTAGGGATTCATGATTGGACCATCAAAGTCAGCCAACGAGTGTAGAAGATACGATCCTAGACTATGGATTATCGGTCCTTCCCGTCTAGGGCCCATTTCAGCAGTATGATTCATGGATCCTACCAACACAATCTAGTGTTGTAGGGAGTTCTCTTGTGCACATGTACATGTCACACACCCTTATCCAAAGGGTCGCTTCCTGGACAGCTATCTAGTGTACTTGTTGTGTGATGGTAATGATGAGGATTTAGGTCCTTGTCCTCTCAGGCCATCCATCACACACAGGGGTCAAATCCATGTCCCCTGGCCAACTGTCTTTGGCATATCTCCAACCTCATGTAGGGATAACCCCACATCGAAACCCTTATCGGTTGTGCTTACACAATGCCCAAGACTATGGGTTTTGGAATTCACATTGAGTCATAGCCAGTCAAAACTCATTTGAGTCTAAGGCATTATTAATGCCCAATGCCCTACAGTCCAAGCTGGACCATACTCCCACTGGAGTCAATAATTCATTATATATTTTTAGTACATGCTCTCATAAGGCCTTCAAATGGCCACAAAACCCCAACAAGACCGCCTGTCAAATGGTGATCCTGCCCAATCAACATCTGAGTAACCTTCAATGGCCAAATAATTTTTAATTTGTAAATTAGACTTTCACCTTTGACTCCCTTCAAATACTTTAAAATTCTTTGAACAACATCCCAGTGGGGAATCCTTGGAGCATGCATAAATCGACTCACAACACTTATTGCAAAAGCAATATTAGGCCAGGTGATGGTCAGATAAATCTGCCTACCAACCAGTCTTCTATACCTTCCTAGATCCTCAAACAACTCCCCCTGATCAGCCAATAATTTCATATTTGAATCCATATATGAGTATCCACTGGTCCAACACCCAACATTCCAGTTTCTTTCAACAAACCAGTCACATTTTTCTTTCAACAAATCAGTCACATTTTTCTTTGAGACAAACTAATGCAATGCTTTGATTTGGCTACTTCAATTGCTAGAATATACCTTAGTTGGTCCAAATCTTTCTGAACATATTGTTTTAGATGTCTCTTCAAATGGCCAGCCTGCCTAAATCTACTTTCCCTCTTCTTATCGCCTATTAGGGCTACCTTTAAATTCCCTCATATGTATTCATTTTTTATCATTTCTTGTCTTGCTACTTATCCATCTCAACAACCTCATCTCAGCTACACTCATCCTATAAATATATTATTTCTTGACCGCCCAACATTCTAGCTAATTTTAAAACCTATTAGAGTGTGCCTCCAAAGTTTTAACTTAGCGTTGACACTGCCACTAATCTCATCAATCAAAACTATGTCCATGGTACCTCATCCTATAGATGCCCTAGTTAACCTGTCCATGACTAAAACAAAGAGATATGGACTCAATGCTGACACTTAGTGTAGAATGTATCCTTTAACAATACTCTCTTCCAACACCCACTAAATTAACTCTTGTATGTTTTCTTTAAATCGATAAAGTCCGTGTGCACGTCTCATCCCTTCTTCCTAAACTTCTCATCCTATTACTCAAGTAGGAAAATAGCCTTAATTCTTGACCTCCCTAGCATAAA